TTGTAATTTATTATTACTAAGGTTGAGAGTAATTTAATTTCATAGGTGGTTAAAAGCAATAATTTAATTCTAGGAACAATCTTGTAATTTAAATTAAATAAACGCTGTAAGTGTATCGAGAGGTAATTTAGTTATTAAGTTTTACATTATTATTATTAGGTTGGAGCCCAAGGCATTACGTAGGTGGTGGGGTGGGTGCCGAAAGGCCAATGAATTGGGCTCTTGAGTTTTGTAATTTTAAGTAAGCTAGGGCCATAATGTAATGAATAGGTAAGTTAAGGCTACATTGTAACACACACTCATTAATAGATTTAGGGTTTAAGTTTTATATTATTACTAAGTTGGAGCCCAAGGCATTACGTAGGTGGTGGGGTGGGTGCCGATTGGCAAATGAATTGGGCTCTTGAGTTTTTTTGTAATTTTAGGTAAGCTAGGGCTTAATTGTAATGAATAGGTAAGTTGAGGGTACGATAGCCGATAGACTCTGAATTTCGAAGTCTGTTGTCAGAGGTAAGCCTTGGTGGCCAGTGGTGTACCGGCAATGGTTTACTATCCGGACGGCAATGTTTACTATCTGCACGGTAATGATTTACCATGCGGCACGGCCATAGTCTACTACCCGCACGGCTTCCGGACGGCAAATGGTATACTATCCGCACGGCAATAGTCTACTATCCGCACGGCAATGGTTTTCTATCCGGTGCCCTGGCTGTCGGTGAACCTATGTGCAAGGAGGAAGAATGAAGGGGGACTTTCGACTATCGTACCATTAACAATTTAATATAGATTAGTTAAGGTAATTGAATAGGTAGATAGGATTATTTTTATTAAGCAATTTGAGATGCAGGCACTGCTAAGCTTTCTGATGAGAATCTACTCTTTCTCTATTTTTCTCCATCAACACGGGCTGTGTTTCAACAACAATCTCGAGGAGGACTGGCACCAGTTTTGGAGGACAACGTAGGAACCGGACCGCATTCAACATTCTGCCTTTGTCGAATGGACGACGGTAAGTTTTTTTTACATTTTACTTTATTATTTTAAAATTTTATTTATTTGACATTATTTTCATTTTATAATTTAATTTTTTTTGCTTCTAAGATTCTAACATTCATTTACTACTACGCAATTAAAAAAATTTTGTTTACAGAATGATGAGAGGTGGGCAGTGGTGGGAGTCAGCACGTTTTAGATGGTGGTCTCATGATGATTTACATATGATGATGGTGGTGTAGGAAGAATCAGCTCGTTGGCTGTTCGACTGACACTCTGAAGTTCGGATGGTATTTTGTGTGCCGACCAGATGGTGGTGGTCGGTGCAATGGAAAGTACAGTAACGACGATTTTTGAAGTAAGGTTTAGTTTCGTTTTTTATTTTTCTCATTCGTTCATTTTATCACTCAACCTTTTAAATTATTCTTCTATTAATTGATTCGTTAATTCATTCTATTCATTAATTGAATCATTGATTTATTAATTCATTCATTCATTCACTCATTCATTCAACCAATTATTTAATCATTCAGTTAATCATTTATTCGATCGTTCCTTTGTTCCTTGATTTACTAATACGCTATTAAAAAAATGTCTACAGATGAGAGGTGGGGAGAGGTGGGCTGTGGTGGGCATCAGCACGTTTCAGATGGAGGTCTCATGATGATCGTTCCGATGACAATTCGAAGATAACAACAACGACGGTTTTTGAAGTATGATTTAGTTTCTTTTTTTTTATTTTTCTCATTCATTCATTCATTTTATCACTATCTTTCAAATTATTCCTCAGTTAATTTATTGATTCATTCTATTCATTAATTAAATCATTGGTTGATTAATTAATTAGTAATTTATTCATTCAACCAATCGTTCAATCATTCAGTTAATCATTTATTCGTTCGTTCCTTTGTTTCTTGATTTACTACTTCGCTAATTAATAAAAACTTGTCTACAGAATGATGAAAGGTGGGCTGTGGTGAGCGTCAGCACGTTTCAGATGGTGGTCTCATGATGATCGTTCCGATGACAAATCGAAGATAATGTTAAAGGTAAATTTGTTTTTGTCTCATTGTACCTTTAAAAGTGCTCGAATTTGAACAAAGATTGAGTGTTATCTCAAAAAGATATGTTGCCTTTTTTTTCCAATTGCTTGTTTTTTATTTTAGTGAATTAATTTATTTTTCAATTTATTTTTCAGTATCCGGTCAAATTCATTCCATCGATGCGTGTCAGATGATGGTCGGTGCAATGGAGGTTTGTCGGTAGTGAGTGAAGTTTCTGGAGAGTGCGCGCCCGCACATTTACATACACACACATCAATACAACACATACATACACAACATCCATTCATTCGGTGTCGTTGTTGCTATGTTTCTCTTCAACTTTATATTTTCTTTACCGTGAACCGGGCTTCAAGTAAAATAAAAACGCTAAAATATGTTAACCAAAATACTTGAAATATCTAAAACGAGAAATACAAATTTGTAGGTGAGTTGAGTCAATGTTTATAAGTAAGCTAGGGCCCTGAGAGTAATTTTATCATAGGTAGGTGACTGACTATTATTCTTGCGACTTCTTACTAGTTTTGTGTGATGTGTTTGTTTTCGCTTCACAACACCACACCAACAAAACAAACTACATTTCATTCTCGTCGTCGCCTTAAATTGTACCTTTTTGAACAATCTTTTTAATAATATCTATTTATTTATTCATTAAATGTTGACTGGTTTCTAGTTTTTTTTAAATTGGTTATATAATTTTTGGATATTTCTTGATTTACTTTGTATATGAATAAATTATTTCTGTTTAGTATGTTGATTTAGTCATTATGATATGTTGTGAACCTTTCTTACTAAATGTTCATGTTATGTGGTTTATTATCCTTCGAGAACTTCTAAGGAGTGTGTATGATAATAATAATAATGGATAATAATTATTTTTATCGGTCGATATTGTTATATTTGTTTATTTAAAATACGAATTTATAAAAAATTGACATTTTAAAATTTTAATTAACCGTTACTTTTCATTTTTGAATGAATTCAAATAAAAACAACTACTGTATTTTTCTTTCTTTACTAAAATCTCGAAATTATTTGTAGATCTGTACGGTTAACTGTTTGTTCGAGTTTGAACAGGCCTTGCAAATTTTTTTTATTTATTTTTATTTTTGTTTATTTGGTTCATTCAATTTAGTTGATTGATTGATCGGTTGATTGATCGGTTGGTTGATTGATTGACTGACAGACTGACTGGCTGGCTGACTGACCGACCGACC